TAACAGGTGCCCTCTCGGATCAAATACCTAGTATCCTATGATCAAGTTCTAGTTAGCTACTCTAGAACAAGCATTAAGAACAACCTAGATGAAGAACTATATGGATTAATCCTAACAGATAATTGATTTACTAGTTCATCTAAATCCTTAATGAGAATCCCTAACCCTAAAAACTATTTATAAAGTCTCCAAAAACGTGTAGGGACTAAAATTACAAATAGGGAAGTCTTCTGGGTAAATTTTGCGGGCTTTAAAACTCTAAACCGTCGAGATTCCTTGCTGGGCCGCGTATGGTGTCGAGCGACACCAATGCCTTGGTTCGAATCCGATTTTGTCTCTTCAGCTCCAAATCTTCGGTTTAGCTCCAGAATGATTTATTTTCTCCAATTTCGTCCCGAACGTGTCAAAACCTGAAAAGACTCAAAAAGACACTAGAAACAACAAAAAAACTCTAAAACTAAGACGTAAATCACGGTTAAAACCAGTAAAATCCGTGTTATATCCATTATAAATACTTGCAAATATTAACACTATATCATTTGTACATCTACAAATCTTCATAATTTAATGAAGATTAATTACACATATTTCAAATATATTAATTATAATATAAAATAATTAAATGAGAATTTTTTTATAATATCAATTTAAAAATACAATAAATTATAAATTATTATAGAAAATACATAAAATACAATTTTGTCCCACGTACCGCGGATTAAATCCTAGTGATTGTATGAGTAATATCCAAACCACAAAATCTATATCTATGGTTCTTTATTCGTTCTATCATAACAAAATAGCATTTTTTTCCAGAAACCCAGATTATTAAACTGAGGAACAAAAGGCAAAGAAGAATTTTCTAGTATTAGTTTAATAAATCTATCACGTTTGCATACTTATACACACATTATGAGTAATATCCAAACCACAAAATCTATATATATGGTTCCTTATTCGTTCTATCATACCTCTTAAGAACAAAACAACATTAAACTGAGGAACAAAGGAAAAGAAGAATTTTTTATAGCAATAGTTACCTCTGGCAAAACGATGACTGGGGCAGGAG